CATGATAATGCATGCCAATAACAGATTCTACAATAACAGTTATTCTGAGGTCATGACTGTGTGTATTCTGAAACTGTGTGTATTATTCTTAAACAGAGTAAATGGGGCTGTTACTCGAGGTTATGAGGAGGATGTTGGAAATAGAACATCAGTCTATGTACATACAGCTTTTTCCTTATATGCATCCATTCTGACATTAAAACAGTATGGCTTTCACAATATTCCAAAAGATGAGGTCAGTATATTTTACAATTTTGCATGCAGGTAACTCACTTCAAATACACTGTGCTGCTGTGTTCATCATTGAGGATTATTAATATAAATATACTACACAACTGTACACTATCTTTTAAAAGAGGTTAAGATTTTTTTATGTTTTTAAAAGAAGTCTCTTACGCTCATCAAGGTTTCATTTATTTGATCAAAACAAATAATACAAAATCACTAATATTGTATAATATTACAATTCAAAACAACTGTTCTCTATTTGAATATATGCTCAAATGTAATTTATTCCTGTGATGGCAAAACTGAATTTTCAGCAGCCGTTACTCCAGTCTTCACTGTCACATGATTTTCCAGAAATCATTCTAATATTCTGATCTAATATTCTCAAGAAACATTTCTTGTTATTATCAATGTTCACAACAAAGACAAACAAGACAAAGACAAAGTTTTTTTTTCGTGGAAGCTGTGCCCAAAATTTTTTCCAGGATACTTTGATGAATAGAAAGTTCAAAAGAGCAGCATTTATTTGAAATAGAAATGTGTAACATAAATGTTTTTACTTTCACTTTTGATAAGTTGGATGCATCCTTGCTGAATAAAAGGATTCCTTAAAAAAAATTACTACTGAACCGTAGTGTATATAACGTTTTGTTTGTTTTTGTGGTTCTGTTATTGTATTGTATGTGGTTAAATTTTTAGTAACATTCTATAAACAACTAAAAATATTTTGCTGAGAAGTGACACACTGGTGTTTTTTCAATAGGATATCAAATATGTAATGATCCCTGAAGGCCTGAGGGACTTTGAATGGATCCAAGGCCTTTTGCAGGGAAAAGAAGCCAATGGGTCATTCAAGGGTGAGAGGTGCAGTATCCAACTCTAGTTCTCCCAACACAGTAAAATTATTACAGAAGTCTTTTGAGTTATATAAAGCTGTACATTATTGTTTCTCCTCTATGCCCCGCCTTTCTGAAACGCGTCGATTTTTACAAAGATTTTTTCCTTTGAGCACAGACCCATTGTATGCTGCTCTGCAGGTTCAGGAAACAGTCTTCCATAAAATGCGTCACACAGCGTCACACATGGCGGGCTTGAGTGAGCGGAGGCCGGCGGCCTTGAGAACGGCGCGGCCGGCGGATTCGACGAAGGAGCGTCCGGTGGGTGTGCGACAACCACATGTGACGACCCCGGGCTGGACTCCGCTTCGTCAACGGTGAAAGCCGTATGTGGGGGCGTGTTAGAACGAGCCGTTTTAGGTAGGCGTGGTTGACTCTTAACTTTTATAAAGAATATCTCTTTGGATTTGAGACTTTAGTCTTTGCAAATTTACAGATCTTCTTTATGCACCAAGAGCTTGTAACACATCAAAGAGAAAGGAAAAATTAAAATTGCATCATATGACCCCTTTAAGAATATAATAGTGTCAAACTTTACTCCTAAGCCGTGGAAGAAAAAGTTACAGTGGATATTCCAAGTGAGGTGGTGTTTACAATGCTTGGCTCCAGCTAACATGATAAGGGGTGAAAATGTATCATCTTATTCATTGGTTTTAAAAAACAACATTTGCATTTATTCTTCCACAGGCCACTGAAATATTTCAATGGGAATTTTAACGAGAGTAGATTCTATGTTCTTCACCCTGATTTTCTTCGATACATTCGCAACAGGTAACATTTATGTTACAGTGACCAGTATGTCTAGTCATACAAGAGTCTACGCATGATCTATCTCTTTTGAATAACCCTTATTTTATATATATAAAAAAACAGATTCATGCCATCCAAACAAATGCAGGGCAATTACTGGGCAATGTACAGACCGACCAATGGAGCGTTTGCTTTGTTCTTGGCTATTCACACATGTGACGTTGTAAGTAAAGGCATTATTTATTTTCTATTCATTCAGCTTGTTCTTAAATTGGTCTGTAGCTGTTTAACACTGGAAGTACTCTGTTTTCTGTTATCCTATTTGTATTGTGCATTGTACTTGAAAATGTTTTATTCTCAACATCAGGTGGATGTCTATGGATTTATTACAGAAGACCACCATAAGTACTCCAACTATTATTATGAAAAGTTAAAAAAAACCAGTGTAATTTTCTTTATTAACCATGACTATGGCCTGGAGATAAAGACTTGGAAGGAACTGCATGACTCTGGAATCATTAGACTCTTCCAAAGGCACTAACACATCAAAAACAGAAGGAGGTTGTCTGTTCTGTCTGCAGGCATTATTTAAAAAGATATTTCCAAGTTATGATTCCGAAAGAAGCTGTGTCTCGGTTACATGTGGGGAAGATGGACAAAATCTTTCTTAAAAAGCTATGGACTGAAACTAAATGAAGCATCTGTAATATGCTGCAAGTTAAGCAGGTTGTATTACACGTTTTATCTGTTTTTCTTTTCTTTTAAATTTTTTTTTTATATAGGAGATAAAGGTGATATTTATATATTTAAATATTTACAGCACCTGGGTTTGTGTAGTTTTGATCTTTAATTATTATTCATTACATTTGATAAAACCCTTTTTACTTGAAAAAACAAAACAAAACTTTTTCTTGCCAATGCAAAACAGATCAATATTTTCCTAAAACCGAGCTTTATCTATACACAAAAATAGGACCAACTTTATAAAATAAGTTATTTACTGATATTTTTAAGTATATTTTATATATTCAATAGCTCTATTTCCTATATAACAAATGTTCTGTGGATTACATAACAAAGAGTGAAAAATTTAAGGGGGTCTGAATACTTTCCGTACCCACTGTATGTACTGTTAAGCACATACTTGAGAAACAACACGAAAGAACAGGAACTAGAAAGAAGAAGTGAAGTATAAAAGGACTGGCGCATACGTTTTTCTTGTTGATTTATCCATAGTAGTATAGAGCAGCACACTTAAGACTTATTTGTTTAACTACAGTTTGTGCATTTGTAATATTCCAGTACAAATTCACTACATCATCAAACCATGTGTTTATTTGAGGATTAAGAGAGACCAGTAGTCGTCATCACACTTTCTAATCCAGTGAATATTTGTCAGGGTGGGATCATCTTTGAAATTCAGTTTCTGTATATACACCTTAAAATATAGAAAAGTACTGAAAATGTATGTTTATCTATTTATCTATTAATCTACTAATTTATCAGGTTAGCATTACATACACACACACACACACACACACATATACATACATACAAATATATATATCTATATATCTATATATCTATATATATATGTATGTAAGTGTGTGTGTGTATGTATATATATATATATATATACAGGGCCGTGCACAGACCTTTTGAGGGGCATGTGCTGAAACGGAAAAAGGGCACCCCCCCCCTTAATGACAAATGAAATAACACAAAATAATAGTCTCAAAAATATATATATATATATATATATATATATATATATATTTGGTTTTCCAGAATCTTCTGCATATTTGAACCATTTCCAACAATGACTGTATGATTTTGAGAAAACAATGTTTTTTTCTTATTTTACCTAAATATCATATTGTTTAATTTAGTACTGCCCTTCAGAAGCTACAGAAGATAGTTACACGTTTCCCAGAAGACAAAATAAGTTCAATTTACCCTGATCTTCAAATTCAAAAAGTTTTCACCTAATGCATTATTGTTCCTTCTGGAGCATCAGTGACCATTTGAACCTTTTGTAATCGTTGTGTATGAGTCCCTCAGTATATATATATATATATATATATGTATGTATATATACTGAATATATAAAATAAAATTGCTGAAAAAGAAGAATATTCACATTTACTCAGTAAATGTGAATTTTCATAGCCTATATATATAAAATAGAATTGCTGAAAAAGAAGAACATTCACATTTACTGAGTCCTGGCAGATACTGTGGCATTTCATCAAGAGGGCTGTGCTATCAAGATAACCCAGAAGTACCGATAAACTGAAACAGATTAATGGGGAGCAATGGTCAAAATTCTTATATGCAGCTACAGAAAATATCTGGTGCATGATTTGCTGCTAAAGGAGAATCTTAGTTACTATTTTTACCTACTTTCTACACCCTGGCCTGCACTGTGAACGATTATTCAATGTATTCAATAAAAGTGTGAAAAATACAATGATTTGTGTGTTATTAGCTTAGTCAGATTGTGTTTATTTATAATTGTTAAAAAAGATTTAAGATTATTTAGCAATGCAGAAATTCAGATATTTTCAAAGGGTTCACAAACTTATTTGTGTCACTGCCCTGGAGACTAACGACTTTGAAGAAACTGTGTGACTTTGGAATCATCAGACTCAACCAAAAACACAAACACATCAAAGGCAGAAGACTCTGTATGCTTTTACAGTCTTTGTGAAGAACAGACTGTGTTTGAACGTTAATCTTTAATGTGTACGTTTTACAAGATTTTTATTTTTTCCACAGCCAGCTCTGTTATACAACCATGTCAACAGTCAGTGTTTTCAAGAATTTCTCTGTCCAATTCAAAGAAAATGTCCAATTTAAAACAATGAACTGAAATTCAGTATAATTTTCTGCATGATTTCTGTATATTTGGTTGAATAGGGATTAAAATCTACACATAATCACTTATATATTAACACACCACTTGTCCTCTGTAAAGTCGTGGGCCTTAGAAAACCTCAACAGAGAGAGTACTGTAATATCCACCTCCGTCACTGGAATTTGGCGCGATACACACGCGAGTGTTTTTTTACATACGTAGCGCTCCATATAAGGAAAAGAAGGAGGAGAAGAAATTGTGCACAAACCTAATTGGTTCTCGCCTCAATATGCAAAAGTAAACGAGATATGTGAGAGCTAGGCAGTGTTCAGACGGCGCGCTACACTTTGAAGACATCCAGCTTAAATAACGTAAATACCAAACGTAAGTTTATAAAAATAAAGGCATGTGTGTGTCCATATGTAGGCAGCTCACTTGAGTCGTCGGTAATTGGCCTAATCAAGCTGTAAACTCACAGTTGCGCATGCGAAGATGATTCTTCTGAGGATATTCTTGGCTATATCCTTTATAACGTTACTTCTGTTTATTTTTGTAACATTTTACAATGGAAACTGCACTATAAAGGCACTCTCGCGGTAAGAAACAAACATTTACAAAATACAAATGTGTATAATTATAACAGGCTAGAACGAGAGCTACGCAATTGCAGTTTGTTCAAATGTTTTCTTCTACCAAAATGTTTACGTCATGTAAAGCAATAACAGAAAGAAGACTGATAACTCTGCTGCCCTTCTCCTAAGACAATATGATTCCTTATGTGTGGAGGAAGGCAATGTCGCAGATTCTTTGCAGAGAGTTGAGGAGCCTGACCCAACCAACAGTTCAGTGACTGACTCAGGAGCAGCAAACACTACAATGAGCCCTGACCCTCTTGGGACTCAATTAACGCTTGTGGCCCCCATGGACAAGCACAACTTTACTGCTCTGCCCCAGTGGAAATTTGATGATATATATCGGTTGGATCCACAGTTTAAACCGAGTGTAAGTATGGTGGATAACAACAACTAGAGAAAAGTTTGTGAACATCCTGCTAATGTGGCTGACGTGACTGATGCAACCCTGCTGAAAAAGAAACGCATCTTAAACCAGACTAATTATGGTTCGCTGGTCTTCCAGACTTAGCCTTATCTGTTAACTGGTTTTACAGGTTTTTTTTTTGTGGCACTTTTCTCTCTTGGTCATTGATTAATTTTGGATTAGCACTGGATGACAATCACAACATACATAATTTGTTTTTGTTCTGTAAGAATGGATACAATTAATAATAGATAAAAGCAAACGCGACCACCTTGAAATTTTAAGGCCTCTAAATGATCAAAAATTTGCTGAAAAACACAGTCTACTACATGCCTTCTGTCTTCTGACTCGTAGTTCATATCTTTTGCAAGTAAAAGGCCTTTTAGTGTAATTATAAAAATGTCCATCTTCAGGTAGTGGTACATGTCTTTTTGCTGCCAAATCTGGAATGATTTTTACAAAGAAAATGTAAAAATAACTTTTCCATTGTTAGTAATATCTTAAAATGAACATTTACTGGACTGAGGCAACTTAGGTTTACTTGATTTCTCCATACATCATTTTTTCCCCTAGAAAATGATACAACCCCATTTTCAAAAAAGTTAGGACATTTTGTAAATTGTAATTAAAACAAGAATCTCTGATTTGTTAATTCTTTCATATTCTTTCTCTTTTGTTAATTCTTATTTAAATGACAAAACTACAAAGAAAAGATTTACAGTATTTCACTGATCAACTTAATTGTATTAAATTGTAAATATAAATAAATGTTGATTTTGATGGCTGCAACACACTCCAAAAAAAAATTGGGACAGAGGCTAAATAAAAGTTTATAAGTATCCAAGTTAAACATTTTTTTTTAGACATTGCTCAATAAGCAGGTGAATTGGTGATAGGTGAGGGTATCTTGATAAAAAGTAACAACTGTACCAAACAGAAGATTTTTGCTCCGTTTGGGCTCTGAATAAAATTGAGGTTTTTCTCTCAAGCATGAGCTCCATATTCTCGCTATATCATTCTACATGAGCCATAGAAGCCTGATAATATGATACAAAGCGTAAAACATATATGAAACTTTTCAGACCATTTTTCATTTGTCAGGCTTTACAGAGTTTAAGGCATTTCCCAATATGTTTTTTCAGGAATGCATGGTGTCCTTGCGAAATTCCTCTAATCCTGTGTATAAAGAGAAGTTTATTCCAAACATTCAGCTGTTTTTACAAAGTGATCATGTCAACATGAGTGAGTGGAACCGGCTTTATCACTTCAACAACCCCTTTGGCTATATGGGATTCAATCACACAGGTTTGTTTAATCAGAAAGCATAAGTGTGATAATGTAGATGGTTTATTAAGACATGGTTCTAGAATAATGCACTATTTTCTCCTTTTTATAGCCATAAAAGCAGCTGTTGACACCATACCTAAACTTGCATCTACCCAGTTACTACAAGTACCCACAAGAGCGAAGGATGGCTGTATTCGCTGTGCTGTTGTTGGGACTTGTGGCATTCTCAATGGCTCCAGGCTAGGAAAGGAGATTGACTCTTCTGATTATGTATTCAGGTAAACTGAAAAGTGTGTTTAGCATATTAGATCAGTGACGGTTATTATGTGTAAATCAGAATATCTTGTCAAAGCTTTAACCTCTTAAAGGGATAGTTCAATAGTTCACCCAAAAATGAAAATTACCCCATGATTTATTCACCCTTAAGCCTTCCTTCTTCTTTCAGATGAATACAATTGGAGTTGAAAAAATGTCCTGGCTCTTCCAAGCTTTATAATGGCAGTGAATGGTGGTCGAGATTTTGAAGCCCAAAAATAGTGCATCCATCCATCATAAAAATGTACTCCACACTGCTCCGGGGGGTTAATAAAGGCCTTCTGAAGCGAAGCGATGCAATTTTGTACGAAAAATATCCAGATTTAAAACTTTATAAACCGTAATCTCTAGCTTCCACTAACTGTCGTACTTGTGTTCACGAGAGAGTGGCGTCCAGCGGAAGACGTAGGTGTAGCTTAAGCTCCGGTGAGAAGTGAAGAATGCGGAAGCGCAGAGGAGAGAGCAAAACAAAACACCGGTCATGAATTAGAAGTACAAAATGAGGATTTGTAAAGAAAAATGTTGGAGGATTTTGATATAAGCAGAGAGGAGACTGTTTTTCCTTTGCTATAAACAAAACTTGGTTCTTGCGAGTCTAGCATATTTTCACTGGAGCTTACACTACGCCTACGTCATCCGCTGGAACGCCACTCTCTTGTGAATGCATGTACAACTGCCTGCAGAAGCTAGAGATTATGGTTTATAAAGTTTTAAATCTGGATATTTTTCTTACACAAACGCATCGATCCATTTCAGAAGGCCTTTATTAACCCCCCGGAGCCGTGTGGAGTGATTTTATGATGGATGGATGCACTATTTTTGGGCTTCAAAATCTCGACCACCCATTGACTGCCATAATAAAGCTTGGAAGAGCCAGGACATTTTAAAATAACTCAGACTGTGTTAGTCTAAAAGAAGAAAGTCATATACACCTAGGATGGCTTGAGGGTGAGTAAATCATGGGGTGATTTTAATTTTTGGGTGAACTATACCTTTAATCACATGATTGTTTCTGCTAGGGTGAATGCAGCCATTATAGCAGGACACGAGGAGGATGTTGGGAAAAGGACGTCCGTTTATGTGCACACAGCACATTCCTTAATCCAGTCCCTCATGTTACACAAAAAGAGAGGTTTCAAACAGATTCCTACTGACAAGGTGTGTCTAAACAATCACTTGTTCTTATATGTGGGCTGCTTTGGCTGAACCTCTCATAGTTTTTTGTCTTTTTTTGTTGAAGGACATTAAATATGTTCTAATCCCTGAGGGTCTAAGAGACTACAACTTTCTTGAGTCCCTTATGAAGAATAGAAAAATACCATCAGGAGCATATCGTGGACAAACGTAAGTCATTCTAACAGAAAATAAATTATCAATCAATATTTGTTATCATAAACCAGTAGTGCAAAATATACAGCCCAGGGCGTCCTTAGCTGACGCGGGGGCCGGTGTGAGGTAGGGAGCGGGGCCCCCCTTGGTCCGTTCGCAATCCGGAGGGGTTCCCCATCGGTCCGTTCGCATGGCCCGGTGCGGCCGCACCAGTTGCACCCCCCTAAGGATGGCCCTGATACAGCCCACCTGATCATTCCATACGGCCCGCAGGCCAAGAAACTGAAATCTAATGCAGTTGCCAAATTAACCACACATAGTTGCAGTTACCAAACGAAAAGCTCCACACTGTCACACTGTGCTATGCCATGTGGGCCTACTGGTTTTCTTTCTTTCCCCTTTTTTTTTTTGAGTGTACGCACACCGGCAGCTCCGAAGGCTGCTCAAAATGCTGACGTGCCACAAAGTTTTCACATAGGGTCTTTATCTTTTTTTCAATTTAAATAAGTTGCAGTTTTCTTACCGGCTCATGATGATTCTGAAAGAAATGTGCCAGGATCCTACTGTTAGGGATGTACTAGTAGGGATGAAACCAGTGGCGCCTGCAGGTGTATGGCTGTACGCACTGTGCGTACCATGAGCGCTCAGACTGACCTGAGATTTGCCCCGCAAACATTTCAGCAGTTATTATAGGCCTGTGTGTCCCTTTCTGTCGACTGAACCAGCCATGCCATTAATTATGAATTTATCAGTCTTTTGCATGCCAAAGTCAATTTCTGCATATAAATATTACGCCAAATAGAAGCAGAAAATCGTGCTATACGCACTTTCATAAGATCGTGTTAGCCTACAACAATTAATTTGTAAGCTATTTTACAAATGGGAATGCAACGAATTCATGACAATGTTTTACATTCAAGCTACCCGTAAAATTTATAGTGAAAAGTACTTTAAAAGCGTCTGGAATGCAATAAGGTAATTTTTTAAAGATGTTTTTAAAGCATTTGCTGCATGGATTAAAAAAAAAAAAAGGCTAATAAATAATTCACATATCAGACAAAATTGCGTTGCAGCAAATCCTTTAAAAAGCTATACAATTATAGGACAACGTTTTACATATATGCCATTATAATTTGTTTTATTTTTTAATTGTACAGAATTATAAAATAAAACGAAAATTATAATCGTGCCTGTTTTAGGCTTTTCCTTATTTTTATATTTTAGACATCCATCAATTATGACTCGCCATCTCCTCATTGGACGTGCCGTTAGAGATTACATAATGAAAGTGTTTCGATTTTTCGATTTGAATTATTTCGTTTTAAAGTAGTAATTTAAAGATTTCTATATATTTTTATCATGTCTGTGAGGCAATTCGCTGAGTTTAGGTTCATCATTGTGAAGCGCTCCTGCTCAAGACCGAGACGAAAGAAAGCGTTTGTTTTCTTTATTTTATAAAAGCGCAACGTTTTGTTGATATTGTGAGTGCACACAAATAAAAGTAGACCCTTTATAGTTTAGAATGATGTATTACTATTACCTTTATGAGCAAAAAATTACTGCGTATTTTAAGTTGTTTCCACTGTTCGAAAAAATGCAAGTGATCGCGCTGGCGTCTCCATGTCCTGCAGAGCGCGCTTCAGCTTCCACTCTCCGCACAAACGATTGGAAATGCATCTAACAGCGCACATTTATATAGATTAAACATTTAAACTAACATTGTGATATGCTTGAACTGTTTTATATCTATAGCTTTTATTTTAGGCAAGTTGTGATGATTTGAGAAGGCTAAATTGATCAAACATATAGGCTATGATTAATTAACTGTCTGCCACTTACATTTAACGAATAAAAATAAAATAAAAATTAACTTTATAAAAAAACTAAACGAAATATAATCACTTTTCCATTACATACAAAACTGAACTATTTTAAAAGCTGAAACGGTAGTATAAGCTTTTTTTGGGAGAAGGGGAAAAAAGACCCCCACAAAAAAAAAACCTCTGTGCATACTCCCGGAAGAAATCCTGCAGGCGCCCCTGGATGAAACTATTCACTCAACTCACGATGCGATATGATTCACAACACTGATTTCACAATACAACTTTTTTTTTTTTATAACAAAAAGTTTAAAGACAAATTATAAATGAAAAGGTGTCCTTTTATTATTTCTCAGACAAAATGCTGCACATTTCTTTGTATAATTGAAATATCAAATAACAAAACTAAATTGAATTTTTAAAACGAATCCCAAATCAAATAAATAAATAATGCAAATAAACAAAATCTCTTCATATGAACAAATTAAGGCTTTGCCTGTGCACTTTCTACTTAAAATTAGAGACAACCACTGCATTTTAATCACGATCCAAACAAAGATGCTGCATACATGCAGCGTGAGCAGTTTTTGATTTAAATTAGGTTGTATCATTTCAAAATTTGAAGCAAAAACAGAATGGTCTGACTTTAGTTTTGTGAAACTATACTACATAAAACATCTGCACGAAACAAAAACAGCAGACGGACTGAATGAGAATGTAAATGCACTCTCTGACAGCAGGTGGCGTTTATGGAACAGAAGCAATATAGAGTTTCCTCGGTTACCGCCGTAAACAAAGCAGAGCTGCTCTTATGAACACTACTTTACTATGCATTATACAGAGGCCAGATGAAAAGAAAATACCATCTAAACTTTTCTGAAGTTCCCCTCAGAGATGCATTCATATAAACCCCCACCCTCAACTGTATCGCGATTCGTTTAACATCTCAACTAACATGAATCGTCACATATTTGTATCGATTTTCAACTAGCTCGTTACATCCCTAGTAACGAACACAACTTTTATGCGCATCAGATTAGCAGATAAACCGAGCAGTCTTATTTCTGTGTTGTTATTAATGTTGTGGTTATTTCAGCAGTTTGCTTCATACATTCAATTTAACATCAGGTTAAAGACGGCAAACTTTATCGTTCAATTTTAGACACTTAATGTATATTCTTGCTGCATCCATGAAATAAATGCACAACCTTCAGTGATTGTGGTTTTCTAGTGTATTTAATTGAACTGCTCAGGAATGGCCCATTTCAGGGGTGGCCTGAGTTACAATTTAAAATCAATCGAAGCTGTAGAAATGTATCTACCACTATATGATATAAGTAAAGACTCATATTTTAAGTAGGCTGCTGTGGAGCTTCATATTTCGAGTAGGCTGCTGTGGAGCAGGCGACCAGAGCGGAGCAGGTGACCAAGGTGAAGCCTGCGGAGCAGGAGACCACCAGAGGTCAGGAGGCCATGGTGGAGCAGAGACATGGACAGACCAATCAATGGCAGTAACACGACAAGCAGAGAGTTCATGAACGGCCTCCGTGGCCACGACATGACCGGCAGAATATCCTTGAACAGCCTCAGTGGCCGTAGCATGACATGCAGAGAAATTGTGAGCGGCCTCCATGGCTATGATATAACAGACAGTGTTCAGAGATGCCCTCCATAGCTGTGACAGGACAGGCAAGGGGTTCAAGGATGGCCTCCTTGGCCGTGGCAGGACAGGCAGAGATTTCAGGGACGGCAGAGAGTTCACAGGTTGGCACCAACACAGGACTGAGCTCTAGGGCTTGAGTGGGCTCTGGAGCAGATTCATGGACTGGAGCAGGCTCTGGAGTGGATTCATTCATGCCATCACAGGAAGTGCAGACGACAGTGGCAGGAACTCAGGGACTCCCAGACGTGGACTTGAGAGCACTGCTCGCACTGAAGTCAAAGGTGGAACAATAACACTGGCCATTAGTCTTATCGGTCTTGGCCCAAGCTCTGCATCCTTTGGAACAGGCTCTGGATTGACAGGCATGACATGAACAGGCTCTGGCGGTTGTGGCATGAATAAATCCTGACATGACGGTCGGGACGTGGAAATGCTCTGGTGTAGCAGCCATGACGTGATGAGACTTGGGCGTGGCAGGCATGATGGCCGAGGGCACTGGCGTAGTAGGTACTAGAGAATTGTGGGGTTCCTCATCCATAGTCCCCACAGTAAATGAGGAACCACTCAGCAGAAGGGCATGGACCAGGGCTCGCAAAATTTTAAAATCCCTGGTAGCCCTTCGGGCAGGTACTCTTCAGATTTTGGTAGCCCGAAAACTAATTTAACTAGCCCAAATAAAAAAGACCTTTTTTTTTAAATATAGAAAATCAGATAGGCGTTTAAATGTCAATCAAAAATATTTTCAATACACAAATATGAAGGAAGGAATTTTATTTCACTATTTACAGGGTATCTACAGAATTTTTAAAAATAAATTTAAGGCAATTTATGACCCATTTTAAGAGCTGCACAAGTAAAATGAACAGTATGAGTGGGGTTGGACAATGTCTGTGGTAACATACAGTATTGAGCCATAAAATTACACGATTTACAGTTCAGATACAGGTTTTCACAAAAACTAAAATCTTATACAACAGCATTTCAGCCTTTAGACAATTTTTATGAAAAGGGATAAATCGAGCATATAAATGGTCAATTTAAAATGTATAAATCTTACTGTCTTAATTGTTTAGATTTTTAGAAGGCACATTAACTTCTTTCTAATTTACAACTCTGTGTTTGCTGCGTAAAAACAAGAGTTGATATTTGCATTGATCTGACCATAATCACAAAGAAAGGCTTATTGGAAATGCAAATTCATTCTCTGCCACGAGGTGGCGCTTTAGGAGCGCTGGTAACGGCTGTATACAAAGCAGCTCCACGCTCATAAACGCTGCTAGGTAAAATGAAATTAAAATGCCAACGACACGTTTCTGAGGACCGTCGGTTCCCTTCAGATACATTCAAATAAAGACATCCGCGCCGCGTTTTCACTTGTCAGGTGCAGCGCTCATATTTATTCAATGACATCATTGCCTTTTGAAGTTTAATCCTGTCGTATCGCGACTCTTGTCTTTTCGTCCCCAACTGCAAGACCTCTTGAAATTATAATTAAGACATTTCTTATACCATTTAACATATTTAAAACTTTTTATGGCCTTAAGTTTGATACAACTCACTTTAGGAGTTTTTAAGGACCCGCGGGAGATCTGTATTTAAGAAGGCCCGTCGGGCAGAGTGGAGATACATTTTGGTAGCCCGACTGGAAAACACAATAGCCCCGGGACGTCGGGCTAGCGATTTTGCGAGCCCTGTGGTCTATGAATTTCACCAGGGACCAGTGTATCCTTGCCCCTGTTCATTTAACCCATTATGAAAAATGTCTTTTAATGCCAAATCATTAAAATTAACTAGGTGACAGAGTCCACAGAATTCCTCCATGTAGTCCTCTATGCATCGATCCACTTGACGGAGGCAAAGCAAGGAAACTGCTGGGTTCATGGTAACGGTCTAGCTTTCTGTAAGGTAGAGTCCACTGGAGGCAAGTTGAAGGAAACCAAGTGCAGTTTTATTAAGTCCAAAAAGTGAGCAGAAACACCATAAACAAAGACTTGGTTTGACTAAACAAAACGAACATGAACACAACTCATCAACAGTGGGTTACACGAACAAAGCTAGACAATGAAACGTGAGGGCTATGTATACCAAACAAAGGGTTTACATGATACAATCCAACCAATGAGAATTTCAAACATGCAACAAAGGAACAAATGAGAACAAGACGCATGAACAAAAGGACCACGTGACAGGGTCAGGGAAACACATAAGGCAGGAACCAAGACAAGAAAATCTAAACAAGAAACAACACCCAAAAACCAGCATGACAGCTGCTTTCTACTGTGTATTATTTTTGGGTTTATTATTACACTTTTCAGAGATATAAGGACTAATCTACATTGTTGTCTTGTGTGCTCATTCAATAACATTTGTCTGATACTAGGCTGATGATACACGGGGCAACTTTTTAAGCAATGTTGCCAGGCAACTTTGGGAAATGTTGCCGCCAACGGGCAACCAGATGAGACACAGGGCCCACGACAGATCTAAAGTATCCAGATAGACATTTGTTATCCATTCTCAATGTGAAAGTGCCCAAACAACATTGCTCAAAAAAAGTTGCACCGTGCATCATCAGCCTTAGGCTCTGATACTCTTAGCTTCTCAATACTCAAATTGATGCTTCCTCATTTCCTTGCTCCTCCATCCTCCAGCCTGTGACATGGAAACCGATCAAAGTTAGCCATGTTTTTTTTTAGCCATCTTTTCTTATTTTGTATTTTTATTTTATTTTTAAGAACAGCATATTATAACAAATATACCACCATCTGGTATATAGATGGGCTCCATCTATCCTCAAAAATGTTCAACTGAAGTCTTAAGGAGTAGGTTATTTGTATATATCTTTGTATATATCTCTTGGACCCTTTGAACCCACTGTTCAAATGTGGGTGGTTCCAGCTTGAGCTATTTAAAAAGGACATCTCAATTCTCTAATTGCACCGTGAGGAAGCTTCCAAAGGAGCCATACATCTCCTATTTCAACAGGGCATCTTGCTTTCATAATAGTTATGAATGTCTTAAAAAAACAAACTTGTAACAGCATAAGGCCAGATCCCATGAGTGCAGCTGATGACGCTTTGAAGTGACGCTTGAGTGATCAAGAATATTCTAATATACAAAGCTTTCCTTTGACTCCTCCATCCTCATTTTCTTTCCTTGCATCCTTCCCTCACATCCTAAGGTGGTGGACATAAGATGCAAGGAAAGGAAACAAGGATGCACAAATAAGAAATGAGAAGCACAATTAGATTAGTGTTGTTTCCCCATTTATCATCTGCTGTTGCCTTACGGTTTTCCTTAAAATATATTTCCCTAAAATTAATCATTGAAATTTCACTGTGATGTGGTGAAATGATCACATCACAATGATCCACCATTGTATCAGTTTCATCCTCCATGTTGTATGTTATCTGTGGTAGACTGTGTTGCCTTCCATTATGGGTGATGAATTGTTAAATTCAATTTTAACTGTTCTCACTGTTCTTGGCTCGTCTGATGTGATATTCTGTCCAATGTGGCCACCGACCCCAGATGAGTTCCCCCCTGTCATAAACCAAAAATGAGTTCCCCCCTGTCATAAACCAAAAATGAGAGCGATTAATCTTTTTCATTTAAGTATCTGCCTTATGTTTGGCTGTTGTGGTTTAAATATGCCTATTGTTCAATGATTTATTATTTTAAAGGCCAAGGAATTATTACAGCGGGCATTTTAATGAAAGTTCTTGGAATGTTTTACCCTGCAGTTACAAATGCATAAATAATGTTTTGATGTTTTAAACATGAAATGTTGAATACTGACATTTGGAAATTATTTAAAAAATAAAAAGATACTTGAAATGTAAAATTTCAAAAACAATGTTATTTAATTGTTAAAAAACAATTAAAACCGCCAGTAGGTGGCAGCAAATCCTCTTCTGCTGGCTATGCACACATGTGACATTGTAAGTGCTATTGTAATACTACTACTACTACTACTAATTATTATTGTTATTATTATTATAATAATAATAATAATTATTATTATTATTTGCCAGCTTTTCTTGAAGTCCAATTGTTCATTTAAAAGCATTCAGGTTTATTTGAACCAGCCCCTGAGCTTATTGTTTTATAGTAATGTCATGTTTTTTTCCTGCTCTCATGTAGGTGAGAGTCTATGGTTTTAGCACTGCTGACTATCGGAAATATCCAAACTACTACTATGACACCAAACACACTAAACTAGTGTTTTTTGCTAATCATGATTATCGTCTGGAGATGAAAACCTGGAAGGAATTTCATGATGACAAGTTTATCTGGATGTATTTAGGAAAATCTGAATGAATCTGTTTCTCTTGCAAGAAATTAATCATCTTTGAAATGACCCAAATAATTACTAGACAAAGAATGTAGTTGAGTCAGTGTGTTTTTTTTTTTAAACAATCAGAAAGTGTAACTTGTTGCAAATGTTTATTTATTTTTTTTATGTAACTTTTTGTATTGTTGTGTATTTATATTCTTGAAAAAAAAAAAAAACTCAGGATATTACAGCGTCCAGGCACCAGATGTCGCACTAACTTTAGAAACTACAACGACTTAACATGGTAGTCCCAGATGTTTTCCTTGACTATATAGCCGAAATTACCATCAACGAATACGAAGGCCATTGGGAAATAACTGCTAAATTAGCCTTGATTAACACTTATGGTATAAATGCAAACTGTAAATATAACATGGAATTATTAAGAAATCTTTGGAACATTACATTCAGCAATTTGAACATACAGAGTATTTTATAGGAGATATTCGCATTTAGGGAATTCCTTTTTTTCTGGAATATTTAAGAGTCTTCACAGCGCACCTTTCAGGAAGAGCGAGCACCAGGGAGGCGCGTGACAGATCCGCGCGCGCTCACGCCTTGGTCACTTGTGTTGTGTCAAACACGTTCAATTATGGCATTGCTCTTTTGCGATTTCCCGAACAGAAACCGAAAACATAAACGGGATTATGCTTATTGAACTTCGTCGATTTAGTTGAATAAGTGGCTTCAAGCGCTTATATCGACCTGGCTACGCATTGGTGAGTATATATGTGATCCTACAGCTCTACACGACAAGTGCATTACTTCTTTACTATTTGATTAAATAACACTTACACAGGTAACCGGTCAGGAAAGTTGTCATTAATGCATAGGGTTATTTTCAACGTCTTATTATCCGTCCTACTGTACTTTCCATAACAATGAAACGATCACAGAAGCGCTCTTAGGTTTCATGGAAGTGATTGGTTGCTTGTTTATTGTAAATATATATATATAAAAAAAAAACAGATTCAAGATGTCATAAACTGTTTTCTTAAAACAACAACAAAAGTTGCGTTTTATGTACAAATATTATGTTAAAATGTAAATGACTGTATAGAACCATGATAATACAGCATGTCTGTTTTCCCCATAGGTTTCCCTGTGATGTTTCTGGCTGTAAGGATGGCTTACAGTCAGTATACTCCCCCTGCTCAAGAACAATCATCTACTTTATGTAGCATATGTAGCAACTCGAAAACTAATTAAAAGCTCAGTGTGCTAAATGTTTAGACCATATGTGTAAAAAACGATAAGGTAAACCAAAAGCCAAGTCCAAAGTTTCATGAACCGAGAAGATCATGACATTGTGAATCCAAATTGTAACACTTTTCTGGAAGCTGGACAAGAGCCATGGGCAAGGAGCAGGACCTTCTTCTGGCTGTGAAGAATGGAGACCTTCCTTTAGCTCATAAACTTCTGACCAAGATCAAGACCAACAGAAATAGTAAGTAGGCTGCTTTTTAAACATATTTCTTCTTTTGGCAGCTGTTGTTGTGTGTTGATGACTATAGTTTGCAGTATAGTGCAATTTTTAGTCATTTGAAAATATTAAACAAACTCATCATCATTGTCTGTACTGAGTCAATACATTATCAGCCACAGATCAGATTATACATCAATTAAGTATTTAATATCTTTAAAAAAAATTTCACATTTAAAATATTTTAAATGAGCTAATCTGCAACCTGATTCCTTGTATGCTCATTCTTGCAAACGTTGTTGTGTCATAGATTACACTTTAGTTGAAGAATTCATTTTCAAGCTCATAAGTTGTTGATTTGACTTGCCTAGATGTTGCTGTGTCTAATTTTAAAGGGGTCATATGATGCTGCTAAAAATAACATTATTTTGTGTATTTGGTGTAATGAAATGTTTATGCGGTTTAAGGTTCAAAAAGCACATTATTTTCCACGTACTGTACATTATTGTTTCTCTATGCCCCGCCTTTCTGAAACGCGTCGATTTTTACAAAGCTCATCGGTCTGAAAAATGAGGTGTGATCTGATTGGTCAGCTGTCCAGTGCATTGTGATTGGCCGGATACCTCAAGCGTGTGACGGAAATTTTACGCCCCTTATCTCTTTGGATTTGAGACTTTAGTCTTTGCAACTTTACAGATCTTCTTTATGCACCAAGAGCTTGTAACACTTCAAAGAGAAAGGAAAAATTGAAATCGCATCATATGACCCCTTTAAGATTAACCATCAGGGACTCATTTATTTAACATTATGAGCTGCAACAGCAATGGCAGTAGCACTAGACTAATTGCTTGAATCAAGCCTGTATGACACCAAACAACAGCTGCATCCAAACTGAACATGAAAAGACCATTAGCATCTATTGACCATTCCAGTAATGTATGCACTTAATGTAAACACTAGATGTAAATAGTTTCCTTCAGCCATCAACTGCAGTTAGACTGGTACAGTAAAGCCTTTTTTGGGGATTAAATTCAGTAGTCTGTCTGCTCATTAGGGGTCAAGGGTTGGTTATTTGGCCATGTTGGTGCAGTGCACCTGCAGAGGATGTTTTCAGGACCGTCTGCGTGTCTTCCCCAAGCAGATTGAGACTGCTTCGGCTGGAGGCCAAACAGGGTGAGTTCCTGTCAGGTCAGACGGTCAGTGAACTCCCCTGCATATCTGAAAGGTTATAGGCAGTCCAATTATGGTCATATTCTGCTACAGGATATTGATGTCAGTGTGAAATCTTTGTAAATTAATAATTTATTGTGTTCCTTGTCAGTCAAAATGCCCTATTGATCTTAATCACATCAAGGATTTCTTAAAGAAGTGTCTTGGAGATTTTTGGGACTGGGTTTGGTTTTACAAAACAAGGCAACATTAAGAAGTTCTCAGTAAGTAAAGTTCTCATGCAGAAGGGCCTCATTTACTTAAATTGTAACCTTGTTATTTTTCAAAGTTGCGATGAAACAAAAGTAGCGACAGATCATCAGATCTTTTCTTTTGTATACATCGGAGTAAAATAGATTATCAGAAATAATGTAGAGAGGGGACTTGGTTCTGTGCATTGCAAGCTGATTGGATGCAGTCACATCTGAATGCGAGCTTGAAGTCAAATTTAAGAAAGTGGGTTAAGCGGACTAAATGAATGGAAAAGTCCAGCATACAAAAATCAACTTACATCAATAGCAAGCATTTAAAATAATGCTTGCTATAGAGTTTTGATTTCATGCTGACATTAAGGAAAAGGAGGAATGGGTCAAAATAATGTTTATACTAATCAACAGCATACCCCAAATTCTGTTGATTGAGCTTACGGTTTCTTGTATTGACTTAACTTGAACATTAAAACCTGAAATTCTTAACAGCCTCCTTCCATTTTGCCAAAATCTGGAATTATGGTGTTCATTTTCACCTCCAACTGTCTTGTAAATCAGGGATAACCCATATGGCAAACTGACAGATTAACTTTAAAGAGAACTGGATTTCAACACACCGTTCACAGTACCTTAACAATGTCAGTCAGCTTTGCTTTCACTCGCTTTTGTTCCCTAAAAATGTAGTAGCCCTGTAAATTACTGAGGTAAAAATACTAGTGAGACATGAGTTGACTGAAAGCCAGTGAGTTTTTCCACGCAAAGCATGTTTTACACAAGCATGTACACGTTTTAATACTCTCTCCTCTTGTTCATGACAGATGGGTCAGGCTAATCAGGACTGTTTTGGAATCTGCTCAATGAGTTAATCCATGAGTGATGTTGTCAGTCATCGCTAGATCTAGTATAAACTGTGTAAGCCAACCGTTCCTTCAACTTAACAAACAGGTCCTGCATCTTACAGTCAGCTTTTAAATATTCATCGAAACTAGAGATTAAATAAAGGATGGACAGTATTATTCACATTATGTGAGAGCTCGCATGCATTTTCTATTTTTAGCTTAATTAGTCTACAGAATACAAGGCTACTGTAGAAAACACAAACAGCGCAGATCAGAAGACACGTACAACATCTCACATCTAGGTCCTCACATTTATTTGTCTGTTAGAAATGACTGCATGTGAATGCACTCTTCTGCCTTTGTTTTAATAGTCTTAAGGTGATTGCTGACCTAGGATTTACTGCTGATCACTGAACCGTGCTTCACTGAAAGATACGCATGACAATCGCAGCTTCTGTTGAATCGCGATCTCGATTCCATTTCGATTTATCATGCAGCCCTACTAGAGAGGATTTTCTTTTTCCCAAAAATGCTAATATTATCGCATTGGACTAAAACTTACTGACTTTGCTCACACAGGGTATACCAACTTCCTAGGCCTATGTACAATTCTTTCCAAAAAGAAATATAAAATCTGTGTTAATTGAAAGAAACAAGTTGACAAAATGATTTAATTGAAGATTTGGTGATAATATAGCTTAATTAGATTTTTACAAGCAATTTTTAAAAGGCTGGTCAGGAACCCAAATTATGTAAAGGATTTTTTTGCACAGTGCAAGGGGTAAGTTTTGTGTAGCCTAATCCCTGTTTTGCATCATTTCCACACTGTGCCTAAACCAGGCGAAACGGCAAAGTGACCAGTGATAAAAGATGACTCGCGTAACTTGAGGGTGGCATTTTAGTGATCATTTGGTTTCTGGTTTTGTGGCGATGCACTGTGAAATCTCATTGGTCCAAATCCCAGTCCACATAGCTGTGCATTTATATATCAAATATGTTCTGTTTCTTATTGTGCCATGAAGAGCTTTCGCCTTCGGCAAAGAGCGACAAACCACTTGTTGTTGGAAACACAGCATTGCTTCTGATTAGTACATGGTGTCAGAAAGCGATTGTTTGTAGCTATAATAAATATGGGCGTGATTTAGTTGTGTAGTTACTTAACTTTTCAGCTTTGATTTGTCTTACCTTCCCTGTTTCATTTCAGATTTCATTGTTAATGCAAATGATAGCAAATCTCTACAGGCTTCAGAAATCTCAACACATTCACATCCTCATTGACTTATGTAATAGGTAGTGTGCACAGT